TAGATTAACAAAGCTGCATACTCAGTTTTCAAATTTAAAAATTCAATTTTTTGTCAAATTTTGGCAATTTTAATGATGTAACCCCTTATGAAATTTTCAATTTTCGGAAAAATGTTAAAATTTATTTTTGACCGGACATGGCTAGAACGACTGGGCTGTTGATTCTGATCAAGAATATATATGGTTTATAGGGTCGGAAATGACTCCTTCATTGCGTTCAAAGCTTCTGACTTAACTTATATTCTTCAAAAAGGTATAAAAACAGGCAATTTTTTAGAAAAATAAAAGTTTTTCGGACATCATAATTAGGCCGAAATTGCATTAATTTTAATTCGGAAAGCTTTTCTGTGCTAGTGTTTATTGCTCTAACAAATCTGCATACTGCGTTTGTTGATGCTATTGTCAGTTTTTGACTAAAATCATAAAACCTGCAAAAAGGTATAAAAACGGACCATTGTTTCGAAAAATCATAGTTTAAAACAAGAAAGGAAGCTAACCTCGGCACGCCGAAGTTTATATACCCTTGCAGATAGAACTTCTATGAATAGGAATCCATACAATAAATTATATATATTTGTGTTAAAAAACAATGAAGTAATACCTGCTATCATTTCATTCACCTATACATATTATATTTGCAGTTTTACATTCACAGATTTGCATTTTTCCTCTACATCAAACGATCGCTTGTATGGCACCTATATGATATAGTCGTCCGATTTTCATGAAAGTTGGCACTAAATTTAAAGACTAATATAAAATGGCTATACCTCAAATTTTATGAAAATCTGTTGAAAACCGAAAAAGTTATAATTTTTAATTGTATTAATTTCTCAATCGTTCCTATGGGAGCTATACGATATAGTAGTCCGATTTTCATAAAATTCTATGCAAAATTGTAGAGTATAGTAAAATGGCTATATCTCAAATTTGATCAAATTCTATTGAAAACTGAAAAAGTTAAAAATTTTTTTGTAAAAATTTTCCGATCATTCCTATGGCAGCTATATGATATAGTCGTCCGATCCGGCCCGTTCCGACATATATACGAGTGAGAGTATATAGAAGGCTAACTACAAAGTTTCATTCAGATAGCTTCAAAACTGAGAGACTAGTTTGCGTAGAAACGGACAGACGGACAGACGGACAGACGGACAGACGGACAGACGGACAGAAGGACAGACGGACAGACGGACATGGCTAGATCGACTCGGCTGTTGATCCTGATCAAGAATATATATACTTTATATAATCGGAGGTGCCTCCTTCACTGCGTTGCAAACTTCTGACTGAAATTATAATACCCTGCAAGGGTATAAAAACTCATAACTAAGCCAAAAAATCATTAATTTTAATTCAGAAAGCTGTTCTATGCTAGTTTTTAGTAGATTAACAAAGCTGCATACTCAGTTTTCAAATTTAAAAAATTCAATTTTTTGTCAAATTTTGGCAATTTTAATGATGTAACCCTTATGAAATTTTCAATTTTCGGAAAAATGTTAAAAATTTATTTTTTGACCGGACATGGCTAGAACGACTGGGCTGTTGATTCTGATCAAGAATATATATGGTTTATAGGGTCGGAAATGACTCCTTCATTGCGTTCGAAGCTTCTGACTTAACTTATATTCTTCAAAAAGGTATAAAAACAGGCAGTTTTAGAGAAAAATAAAAGTTTTTCGGACATCATAATTAGGCCGAAATTGCATTAATTTTAATTCGGAAAGCTTTTCTGTGCTAGTTTTTATTGCTCTAACAAATCTGCATACTGCGTTTGTTAATGCTATTGTCAGTTTTTGACTAAAATCATAAAAACCTGCAAAAAGGTATAAAAACGGACCATTTTTTCGAAAAATCATAGTTTAAAAAAACTCATAACTAAGCAAAAAATCATTAATTTTAATTCAGAAAGCTGTTCTATGCTAGTTTTTAGTAGATTAACAAAGCTGCATACTCAGTTTTCAAATTTAAAAAATTCAATTTTTTGTCAAATTTTGGCAATTTTAATGATGTAACCCCTTATGAAATTTTCAATTTTCGGAAAAATGTTAAAAATTTATTTTTTGACCGGACATGGCTAGAACGACTGGGCTGTTGATTCTGATCAAGAATATATATGGTTTATAGGGTCGGAAATGACTCCTTCATTGCGTTCGAAGCTTCTGACTTAACTTATATTCTTCAAAAAGGTATAAAAACAGGCAATTTTTTAGAAAAATAAAAGTTTTTCGGACATCATAATTAGGCCGAAATTGCATTAATTTTAATTCGGAAAGCTTTTCTGTGCTAGTTTTTATTGCTCTAACAAATCTGCATACTGCGTTTGTTGATGCTATTGTCAGTTTTTGACTAAAATCATAAAAACCTGCAAAAAGGTATAAAAACGGACCATTTTTTCGAAAAATCATAGTTTAAAAAAACTCATAACTAAGCCAAAAAATCATTAATTTTAATTCAGAAAGCTGTTCTATGCTAGTTTTTAGTAGATTAACAAAGCTGCATACTCAGTTTTCAAATTTAAAAAATTCAATTTTTTGTCAAATTTTGGCAATTTTAATGATGTAACCCCTTATGAAATTTTCAATTTTCGGAAAAATGTTAAAAATTTATTTTTTGACCGGACATGGCTAGAACGACTGGGCTGTTGATTCTGATCAAGAATATATATGGTTTATAGGGTCGGAAATGACTCCTTCATTGCGTTCGAAGCTTCTGACTTAACTTATATTCTTCAAAAAGGTATAAAAACAGGCAATTTTTTAGAAAAATAAAAGTTTTTCGGACATCATAATTAGGCCGAAATTGCATTAATTTTAATTCGGAAAGCTTTTCTGTGCTAGTTTTTATTGCTCTAACAAATCTGCATACTGCGTTTGTTGATGCTATTGTCAGTTTTTGACTAAAATCATAAAAACCTGCAAAAAGGTATAAAAACGGACCATTTTTTCGAAAAATCATAGTTTAAAAAAACTCATAACTAAGCCAAAAAATCATTAATTTTAATTCAGAAAGCTGTTCTATGCTAGTTTTTAGTAGATTAACAAAGCTGCATACTCAGTTTTCAAATTTAAAAAATTCAATTTTTTGTCAAATTTTGGCAATTTTAATGATGTAACCCCTTATGAAATTTTCAATTTTCGGAAAAATGTTAAAAATTTATTTTTTGACCGGACATGGCTAGAACGACTGGGCTGTTGATTCTGATCAAGAATATATATGGTTTATAGGGTCGGAAATGACTCCTTCATTGCGTTCGAAGCTTCTGACTTAACTTATATTCTTCAAAAAGCTATAAAAACAGGCAATTTTTTAGAAAAATAAAAGTTTTTCGGACATCATAATTAGGCCGAAATTGCATTAATTTTAATTCGGAAAGCTTTTCTGTGCTAGTGTTTATTGCTCTAACAAATCTGCATACTGCGTTTGTTGATGCTATTGTCAGTTTTTGACTAAAATCATAAAAACCTGCAAAAAGGTATAAAAACGGACCATTTTTTCGAAAAATCATAGTTTAAAAAAACTCATAACTAAGCCAAAAAATCATTAATTTTAATTCAGAAAGCTGTTCTATGCTAGTTTTTAGTAGATTAACAAAGCTGCATACTCAGTTTTCAAATTTAAAAAATTCAATTTTTTTCAAATTTTGGCAATTTTAATGATGTAACCCCTTATGAAATTTTCAATTTTCGGAAAAAAGTTAAAAATTTATTTTTTGACCGGACATGGCTAGAACGACTGGGCTGTTGATTCTGATCGAGAATATATATGGTTTATAGGGTCGGAAATGACTCCTTCATTGCGTTCGAAGCTTCTGACTTAACTTATATTCTTCAAAAAGGTATAAAAACAGGCAATTTTTTAGAAAAATAAAAGTTTTTCGGACATCATAATTAGGCCGAAATTGCATTAATTTTAATTCGGAAAGCTTTTCTGTGCTAGTTTTTATTGCTCTAACAAATCTGCATACTGCGTTTGTTGATGCTATTGTCAGTTTTTGACTAAAATCATAAAAACCTGCAAAAAGGTATAAAAACGGACCATTGTTTCGAAAAATCATAGTTTAAAAAAACTCATAACTAAGCCAAAAATTCATTAATTTTAATTCAGAAAGCTGTTCTATGCTAGTTTTTAGTAGATTAACAAAGCTGCATACTCAGTTTTCAAATTTAAAAAATTCAATTTTTTGTCAAATTTTGGCAATTTTAATGATGTAACCCCTTATGAAATTTTCAATTTTCGGAAAAATGTTAAAAATTTAGTTTTTGACCGGACATGGTCAGATCGATTCAACTTTTGATTCTGAGCAAGAATATATATGGTTTATAGGGTCGGAACTGATTCCTTCACAGCGTTTGACTTAAATTACTTTAATATTTATTTCTACTACTAAAGAAATCTTGTTTCTTCTAGTGGGGTGTACAAAAAGACTGCAATTGTGGTGACAATTTATTTTACCAATTTTTTAGCATGCAAGTGTTTCATTTTAAGTGTCTGTTACGTTTTATGGCTGCTTGGTTGAAATTATGGCATCATATTTGTTAACTGAAATACATTTTACATTTTCCATACACTACCTGTGTCTCCACCTACACCTCGGGTTGGATTGGATAATACCGAATGGTATTTATGTGAAATGTATATGTTGTACCAGGCTTAAGTTAAATATTTGTTCAATAATTTTGTAAAATATTATTTTTTATCATCTATTGATAATTGTATTAAGAAAACCTTTAAGAGGCACCGTTTTCACACTTGGAGATGTACAGCGCAACCTGTACAGCGCAACCTTACAGTATGTGGTATGTTTAACGAATGATTCTTACATACCATGTAAATTGTATTATGTCGCATGTAGAAATAATCATACATGAGACCTGTAAAATTTTGTGTATAATACCTTTTTAGTTCCAATAACGACCACAAATTTGAACTATTTACAGTTTTTACTCACCTGTATTCCGCGCGGCATTGACAGGCTCCCAAAAATAAAAATAAACTGATTCATATTAATTGTAATTAATTATTTGTTCTTAGTAAACGAAATCAACAGCTTAGGTCTAGTTCTTAAACAATATAACTATCTAGATAAGAACGTTTTTGTTACTTCTGGCGCGTAGCAAACGCATAATCAGCGAGTTCTTGTCCAGGCCGTAGATGGAGGTCTGACCAGTAGACTCAGAAAATGACTCATCCGCCGTGTAGTCAGCGTTCTGAGTGGTTGTTTGCAGTTCGTCGGCAGCAAACGTTGTTGGTGGTTCACTGCCGGTGGTTTGACTGTGCATCTCCTCGGCCTCGGTCGTGGAATACAGAGCGCTGCTACTGGTGGATGAGTCGATGGATTCACTGGTTGGTGAAGCTGTGGTCTCATCTAGGTCGATGGTAGAGCCCCTGCTGGATGATTCCTCCATAGATGAAGAGGGTCCCAAGCTTGTTGGCAGCTCAGTAGCCCAGGACTGGGTGCTGCTAGGCGGTGCCGTGGTGCTTGGCACAGGTGTGGTTGAGCTCATGTCTGTGCCCAGCATAAACAGCAGCTCGGGAGCAGCATCATCGTAGGCATTTGCAGAATTACCAATATCCAAGTTTAGTAGCTCCGTGGAGGCAAGGCTCAGAATCTTTGGCACCTTGGTCTCTATGTCAGAAATTGTCGCATTGGTGGCTTCCCTTGGCAGTGCTGTGGAGCTGGGCATAGGAGTGGTCGATTTGGTAGCCCCTTTGGTGGTCAGCATGAAGAATAGTTCGGGTTCCGAGTCTTCACTGCCATGAGCAGCGTTTTCAATGTCCAAGTTTAATAGTTCTGTAGAGTCAAGAGCCTGAATAGCTGGTACTTTGGCAGGCAGGGGAGAAGTTGTGGTTGTGGTTGTCCTCGTGTTGGTCCACTGATACTGAGATGCCGTTTTGAAGGACGCAGGCTTCTTGCTGAAGATACCCTTGACATTATCCAGAGTTTTTTGTACGAGCCAGTTGTCATTGGTAGACCAAGAGGCTTCTTCGCTAGAGGGCACGTATTTCATCCTGCTGGTTCCGCTTGACTCCTTCAAATCATTAAATCCCGCTGATGCCATATCTATCTTGCGTATCTTCCGGTTATTAGCTTCCAAGGATGGCGGATGCGTAGTCTCGAAGGCTTTCATCGATTTGGGAGCCTTAGTTGTGGGCTTTATACCAGCTCTCCTAATGTGCACCTCTGGTGCTGCGGTAGTTGTCCTCCTTTGAATTCCGTATAGAACGCGTGGAATTAGCGGCGAGTTGCGACTCTTATAGACAGACGCTGTCTTGGTTGCCGCTCCAGCTGACTTTTGGCACTCGCCCTTGTAGGAGAACTTCCAGGCTACGGGGAGATTTAAATTAATCTCTGAATTTAATAGAAATTAGGAGCAACTTACCACTGACGGGATCTTTGCATCGCGCTCGCTCCAGGTAGCACTCATTGATGATCGTGTGGTGGATGCCATTGCGGGTCGCACAAATTGGTTGATACACCGTCGGACAGGGCTTGTCGCATTGACGACAGGCTCCTTCGTGAGAAATTGTCCAAGCTATACGAAAACCACATTCTTAAGAATGAAATTCATGAAAATGCCTTGATTAACTCACCGTTTCCGACCTTCTGGCTGTACTCCATCAGCTCGCAGACACTGGCAAAGGTGCGGCTTTCGGCCTTGAAGCTCCCGCAGATAGGTTCGTTTCCAAAGACACAACTCTTGGCTGTGCCGTGCACTTTTGACTTCTTCTTTGGAGGAGCAACCACATATGGTTTGCGAGCGGGCAGGGAATAGCTCTTCACCATGGCGCCCGTCTGGCTGATGAACTCCGTGTGAAAGGTGGAGGGTGCGTAGATTTCCACGGCGTCCTCAGGTATCTGGAAGTCTTCCGCCTGAGTGGTCTTTCCGTGACTCCTCTTCGTGCGGTCTGCATCCAGCTTTGGTTTGGCTTTCGGCTTGAACTTGCGGCTGTGCTTCATTTTGGTGCTGTCCTCGCCACAAAGCCCCTCGGAAACGATGCGCCAATCTGTGCACGAAAAGAAAATAAGAAATTACTTACAATTCAATCTCATAGGAAATACAGCTTTACTGGACTGAGACTTACTCCTCTGAGTCTTGATGTTCTCCGCATTCACCAAGCACTCGTTGGAAAAGGTGGACTTGACACCTGCATACATGGCACACACTGGACGATAGACCTTGGTGCATGGTACGGGCTTAGGTTGGTGCTGTGCCTCAGGCTGAGCACGAGGTTTGGGTCGAGACGAGGGCTTCTGGCTAACCAAAGGCACTGTGTTGTGTCTGGGACACACTCCCCAATGCTGCAGCAACCAGTCCGATCTGGAGAGACACGATGCTCGCAGCAATTCACAGCGGCTCCTGAAGGTCCTGCGTTCACCTGTCCGGGAGCTGATCCCGCACACGGGCTGGTATCTTGCACTGCAATCGAAATCGCAATTGGGAAGGCAGAAGCGAAGGGGAACATCATCTATGAAAATGAGAAGCAAATTATAAACATTATTATTTCTGGTTAGCCAATTATACCATTTCAATTAACATGAAACGTTTTAAAGTAAATTGTATTTTTAATTAATGAAATACTCACACAGAGGGCCATCCATGAGGCTGCCTCTCTGGGCCTTCCTCAAGTCACACTCGTTGCCAAACAGGAAATGCATTCCACTTTGCCGACTTTGGGCGCATACCGGAACATCGTCATCGGAGCAGGGCACACCGGCAGCAGTGGCCATCAGCAGGTGGGAAAGTAATCCAATGCTGAGGAGCATCATTTGTCGTTCGGCCATGTTCTTGCAGTTCTGAGACACCGAAACTCAATGCAATTCGAGATGCGACCGCACCTTTTATATGGCACTTGACAGCGGCGGCACGCGTCGCAGTCTGATGCACACTCACCCATGATCATGGTATTATCGGAGCCGAAATTCTGCAGACATCACATTGTGCGATAAACACGCCTGAGACATCAGCATTCTCCGAAATTTGTCACCATCCGATAGATGCTTCGATTGTCCAGACCCGCTCTATTGATGCTCCGATCCATAGAAGCGTCTGCCAAGCGCAGTAGAGGCTCCGGGTGCCGGGTGCATCTGGCTACGTGATATTTGGTTGATTTTGGGAGGGGCTACCAGATAACCATAGATTGTGCATTCGAACAATTTGGCGACAACTTTAGAGTTAGTATCTTTTCCGCTGCTCTCTTAGCTGATAATGGGTGCAGTTATGCGATATCTAACTCTTCAGTAAATTTAATTCCGATGTGGCTTGCAGAGAGAGTGCATAAAAAATTATTTTTATTGGCTGTCACCTCATTTTCACCACCGAATGAATGGGCTAAAATGGCTTACTATATCTGTACAGGAAATAATTATAAGCTACTCATTCAATAAAAAATTCAGAAAATTCTCACGCACGCCTTAAATTATCTCTTGCAATTATTCACCTAAAGATTATTCATCAAGTTCTGATTATCTCAAACGGCTTTAATCCAAGTTCATGTTTTTCTCATGTAAATTGTAACTTGGACAGCCTGCAATACTTAAACTAAACGATACTTAAAATATGACAATAATTGGAAAGGTCAGGGCTGATAATAAATATTATGAGAATCAATAAACTGATAATTTAAACTAATTTTAAATGAGGGTATAATTTCAGTCAGAAGCTTCCAACGCTTCCAATGCAATAAAAGCTAGCACAGAAAAGCTTTCCGAATTAAAATTAATGCAATTTCGGCCTAATTATGATGTCCAAAAAACTTTGATCGTTCAAATAAATTGCGTGTTTTTATACCTTTTTTTTCTGGGTATAGTTTAAGTCAGAAGCTTGTAACGCTCTAAAGGAATCATTTTCGACCCTATAAACCGTACATATTCATCATATATCATATAATATTGATCAGCATCAAGAGTCGATCTAGCCATGTCCGGTCGAAATATAAAAATTTTCAATAATGAACAAAAATTTTAATTTTCTAAAATTAAGTACCTAGCCTAGAACAGCTTTCCGAAATGAATTTAACGCATTTTTGACATAGTTATAAATATTTTAAACGTTGATTAGCAAGGGTATTAGTTATCGGCTTTTACACAATCACATAATCATCTGCAACAAAAATAGAACACCGTTTGCACACTTATTAAGCCTTGACACTGACTTTCAAATATTCAAAGAGACGTTAATTGGTGTTGTTAAAGACACAGTCGTGGTGCCAAAGGGTACAAGTATTAGCCAATAACCGCTAACCAAATATGCATGTGGGTCAAGTTTCCGCAGATCTGCGACCATCACCAGAGTGTTATTTAATAATAGCTGGCATCCAGTAGGCGCTGCTGGAGTCCCCGCTAATTTGTGTTCTTACGGTTCTCGGCGGCGTATTATCTGGCCAAGAGATCGGAGCTTACTTACCAAGTTGGGATCGCGTCACAGTCACGCGCAGGCGTCATGCCAACTTTGGCAGCTGCTGCTCATCGCGGCTCATCGCGGTGTAGGCCAATTGCTAATTCGAACTTCTCCTCCGGCTAATGACAACAGATTTCAGCAGAAAACTTAGAAAAAGATGCACAGTAGATGTAAGAAAATTGGTCATATAATATTAAAATCTATCTTTGGAAAGCCGAAGTTTGTCGCCCCCTCGAGTTTTCAATTAGGTCAGTGGCCAATTTTTAATTGATTATAAGTAAGCCAAAAATGCATTAATTTCAATACGGAAAGCTTTCCCATGCTGGGTTTTAAAGAAAGAACCTGTTCTAATAATTTATATCTTTGATTTTGCAGACTTTAAGTACATACATCAACTTTTCCTGAGTGCAAGAACTGGTGCTAAATTACAAAATCTAATAACGCGCAGCGAAGAAGGTGCAATCTATCCGAAAGAAAGCCGCGGAGTTGCCACGGAGCTGACTCAGCGGAGTCGCTGAATGTGGCCCAGAGAGTCGAATGGAGCCGCTGAGAGCCAGCGAGTGGAGAGCAGAGTGATCGCAGTGCTGCTTAGAGTTGTGGCCAGAAAAAGTCGGGCCAGTCTAACGACGAGAGCTGAAGCATAAAGACATGCGACGTCTCGGGAGCAACGGCCGTCAGAGTCATTGAACGCTTGCATTTTCCTGGCCCGAACGCAGATCACACACACATCACACGCCGAGACAGTGTTCGCAAGCAATCGGTCTACACTAAAATAGTTAACACGAGCTTGAACTAAATAAGTGATTAATTAAGTAAGTATGGTGCTGGCCACGCCCCCCGTCGGCAAGGGAGGAAGCTTCATGGAGCAGTATCATCAGTACTCCGCCCACTGCGAGACCGCGGACAGTGGCAATGGCAGCGACCTCGAGAGCAACGGCATCCCGGCCAAGCCGGACGACAGCGAGGAGAGCGGTCCCTCCTCCCTGGGCAGCGACTCCATGCATGGCAGCAGCACGGAGTACGTCCGCCAGGCCGCCTCCCAGCCCAGTGGACAGCGGCAGCGCCAGAAATCGCTGAGGAGTCTGGGTGCCCTGCTACCGGACAGCCTGCTCCGTGACATTCGGGATCGACGCGGCTCCGAATTCGTGGTGCAGTTCTCCAGCAAGACCGAGGAGAAGAAGATCCAGGCCACGATCCCGGACCAGCAGAGCAGCCCGTTCCGTCTGTCCCGCGAGTCGTTGAGCGAGGAGAAGATCGAGGAGCTGCGGGCCGCCGTGGAGCGAGCCAACTTTGTGCAAACCGGTGAGGAGACGCTGGACAGCATTGAGGCCGCCCCGCAATCACTGCCAGCGAACACTGGCAACATCAACTACAAGTATGCGGACGACCAATACTACAGCTTTCACATCAACGAGCACGAGAACTTCCCCAGCTTCCCGGCAACGGCGACGAGGTGGACCATTCCCGGGAGCTGGAGCGGGATCAGAGGCGCAGAGCGGAATCCTAACGGAGCAGCAAGACCTCTTCGCCGGCTATCGGGATGTGCGATGTGGACCCGGTTCAACGCAGTCCACCATCAGATCGGCCAAGGGAACGGTGCGGGGCGTCAGGAACCGTGTGCGCAATGGAATAGCCACGTTCTTGCAGCTCCACCAGCAGCCCAATGCCAAGGTGAGTCGAGGGATCGGGAGTCAGAGGTGGGATTGAAGAGGATTATTAGAATACACTAGGGGTCAGGTGAGGGCAGTGCCAAGAAGCGTGCTTAGTAATGGATTTATTCTCTAGCTGAAGTCTTTTCCTCAGACTTGAAGTTACGTATTGGGAATATTACTAGCAAAGATTAATTCAAGCATATTAAAAAAAGACAATAATAAACTCATCATCATATACAGCTATGGCTAAAATAATGCCACTAATGATAGCTTGTTTGTTTTAAAAACAATTCTGTGCTAGTTTTTACTGGCTTAACAATTCTGCATATCAATTTCAAAAATTTAGATTACTTTCAGACATAGTTAGATCGATTCTGCTATTAATGCTGATCAAGAATATATGTTTTATAGGGTCGAAAATGATTCCTTCTCTGAGTTGCAAGCTTCTGACTGAAATAATAATACCCTGGAACAGATATAATGATGCCAGCTGTCTCAATGTATCTTTGCTACAGTTTCGACTGCCTCTGTATATATGAATTCCGATATGAATATTCAGTTATTGGCGGTTACTGGGTTCCCACGCCGCTGGGCGTTGAGTCACCTGCTTTTCGGCCGCCCAAATTATGCAATTTGCGCGTTGCTTGCCAGCGCGAGCACTCTGCCAATTGTCTGGGAGAAAGTGCTGGTCTTTCAATAAATATCTCCCGTATTTCGTATCTTGTATCTTGTATCTTGTATCTCGTATTTCGTATTTCGTATTGGAGGCCAGCGCAGTTGGCCCGTAATCTAATGAATATAAGTAAGCTGCGCTTTCAGCGTCTTCGGGAGGTTTCTCGACTTCTTCAATTATAATGGAAACCGTTAAGTGGCTTATTTTGTCTCCGACGATGTCGCTTTGTATGCGCTTAGCGCTTAGCGCTCGTTTACAACTTGGCCAGATAGCGCGGACGGCTCAGCTTTCAGCTCTCAGCTCTGGCTCATGCCAGACCAGATATCTTGGCCGAATTCGGCTTTGTTTTTCCGCTTTTCGTTCCCAGAGATTGGTGGTGCGCTTGGTGCGCTGGATTGACGCGACTAATCGCAGTTAATGTCGGGCAGTTGGGGCAGTTGGGAAAACAAATAAAAGAACAGCTAATTCAGTTAATTCCGTGTGGAATTGTCATCGTAAATGCGCTCTGGGACATAGTTTCTTTTATTCCGAGGCGTGTTCTTGGAACTAGTTTTGCATAAAGCGATCCGAGATTGTGAGGCTAATTAATTCATTTGATATATCAATATCTCCATTGATTTATGTGCCTTGCTGTAAAGAGCTTTCTAGATTTTGATTTAAAGTCTTTGGAATACAATACAAGACATTTGATGGGTCAATTTATAACCTCTGATTAATGCTTTAATCTTTATTCTCCAATTATTCTTTGAAGTCTGAAAACTTAGTTTTAGATTGCATAATTTTAATTAAGCCATCGAACCATCGATAATAATCGTCTTGTATTATTATTGTTTCCCTTTCCCTTCCATGATATATTGATTTTATATTATTGAAGAGCTTTCTACTATTTGTGATTAGTTTTATTAACTTAAAACTCTTCGAATTTCGCATCTTAATATCGGAAATTATCTGGATTGCTGCTATTAGGAATTCCCCATCGTAAATGATTGCTGGCTCATATTAGGGTTTCGAAATAGTTGTGATCGATTTCGAGTCTGTCCACATTGAACACCGTTTAGGATTGAAAACCTGTCCCCATTTGATGGATTATCGCCCCAACGCTTTTCCGCCCATTTGAAGCACTTT